AGCTGGTGAAGACATGGTGGGCTATAGCTCAATGAAGCTACCTGTGGACTCTGATGTTAGCTTCCAATGCCGCAACACGTTGAGGGCTACGAGGATGCGCCTACCTCCCATAAACAAAGGAACGAATTTGATGGAATTGGAAAGAGAGTTGGGGTTGCGCTGTGAGAACACGACACCTAATCGCGAGTTCAGGGTCCGGAGGAGCCAATCCCTAATGGGCTCTCTCGCTTGCACTTGGCCCCTGCATTAGCGGTCATTGGTCCACCATCATCACAGCCCCCCAGCGAGGGGTAACAGAAGTCTGGTCAAGTATATTCGTCTATATGCTCTTGGCATTGGCATCTCCATGATCTTCGCATGCTCTACATGCTCCCGAGATACCGCCGTAGCCTATCTCATTGCAGCCTTGCAAACGCTGCCAACAAGCAAGACAAAGTCATGTTCGCACCTCATATAAAGACAAACCGAGCAGGTCTAAAGACTGCACTAGGATAATATAGGCAAATCAGGAGATCTAGCGTTTGTGTAGTCTCTGGGGTGTTCAGTTTCTCCTTGATTGAGGTGTTCGCCTCGCCCTAAAAGGCGGATCGAGTGGTAACACTCTGGAATCATTGGCCCTTCTTTCCCTTTTCGGCTGCCAACTTCTTCTGCTGCGGGATGCGATACGATGTTTCCCACCCATACAAAGCACCCGCACCAAACACCATGGCAGCGCCGACTTTCATCAATCCAGTCATCTGGTTTCCGAATATCCAGATACTGAGCAAGAAGCTCACCAGCTTTCTGATGTTCAGCACGATCGTAACAGTAACGGCGGAAGTGTTGGCGCTGAGCATGTTGACCCCAGTGATGCAGAGTAGTTGCGTGAGAGCATTGGCGGTAAGGTAGATAACATGCTGTGATGTTGAAGCCAAGATGCTGTTGACGATTGGCGGGAGATTTTCTGCGACTTTCGGTGGGACCTCAAATGATTGCGAGGCCTGCAGGCGCTTGAACTGTTGCGTCAAGACCGGTGCAAATCCTGCAAAAAACGGGATGGACAGCAAGTGGGAGTAGAAGAGGTTGGCCTGCCAGTCCTTGCCATGTTCACTATAGACGTCCTCGACATAGGCGCCCATCCATGCGGAGAGTAGTTGCGCGATGAGCAGGATAAGAAGACCTGCTTGTAGAGAAGAATTCGACTCATCGGAGCTCGAAGCATCCATGTTCTTGCCCTAGTTCCGTGGTTAGCGTCTATAAATGAGTCGTTGATCGCTCTCCTGTACCTTTGACTGTGCATCTGCCCATGCTGACACCATGACACCTAGCGTCAGGATCGCAACGGAGAAGACCTGGAGAGGTGTGTATCTCTTGCCACGGAACCAGCCAGCCGCCATAGTAGTCACACTACCAAAGCTTCTGAGGATGATGTGAACAGGGACTGAGATGTTGAATGCGAAAGCCCAGTTGTTCAGCATGTTGACCGTGAAGAACAACGCAGCGCTGACACACCATTTGCGAAATGGCACGGGCGAACTCCGCATGAAGTAACGACCATTCGGATCGAACTGGTAGTGCAATGTCGAGAGACATGTAAACACGAATTGGAAGAGCGTAATGAGTAGGCCACTGTCAGGCTCTTGCCTGGGCTGTGTTAGATTTTGTGCTGTTACTAGGGACTACACGCTGTTTACTTTACTATTGCTTCCAGACAATACACCTTTCAGACTTTAGTAGTGGCATCATAACAGTTTTGACTTTCTTACATTTGCGCAACACCCTCCGAAGATGAGCGAAAAGCTGCTGATAACGGGCGCAAGAGCGGCCATGATAGCAGTCGCGTGGCGTGAGGAGTGGCACAGATTACCTGAGCAATTGTTCGGGAATTCGGCCGTGTACACTTTTCGAAGCGAAAGTTGGTGGAGCTGTTGCTTGTCAGAAAGGTGACGTAGGTGAGCGTTGGATGACAGTAAGTTGGCAAGTGCAGAATCGCATAGCGCATTCCGCGAAAACCATCTTCCATCGCACAGGCAACATACAGAAAACACTCAAGTGAGTACAATTGCACACAAACCTCTATGTACTAAGCATGGCTTGTAATATGGTGAACGTTGCGAGGAATCTAGAGGAATGAAACGCAACGTGGAAGTCTGGGATGTCATGAGCCTCACGGCGGGCGCTAACGGGATCAACCTAGGTACTGCCGAATCCAGCAAACTTCTAGAACAGAGCCTCGTCAGGCATCTTTGCGTACAATTTACTAGAGACGTTAACAAGTTTGAGCATATGAGTGCTTCACGTCCATCATGATACTACAAAGCACATATGAAATTGTCATGTGCTTGTCGCAGTCTTTTAGCATCTGCGATATGTCCTGGGCTGTTTCACGCAGAGGTGGGACAAAGACCTATTGATGAGTGTTTCTTTTGTTCTTTCTCTGCACCACCCAGAGTCATTATAGTGGTGTTGCAATCTACACTGCTCTGCGGCTACCCGATCGTTAAACCACATTGCGTCGTTCCTCATCTGCATTCCCACGCCGATTCGCCAAGAATGCTCCTGTTCTATCATCCTAGCGCCGCCTGGCAGGCTGCTGCCAACATTGAAAGGAAGATGGAAGAGTAAAGATGACCAGAAACCCAACAAGCTGATGCTCCTGTTTACATGTATCTTGTGGCGATGTTCGCGAACCAAGGCTACCCCTACAATGCGGAGAAGACGAAAAGCTGTAGGATGTTAGATTTTGGTCATGTGAAGAGAACAAGCCTGCTTACGTTGTTTGTTGCTGCTATAGCGATGCTGTCTTCGAATGGATGCCAGCTCATGTGTAGGATCTTCTTGTTGAAGTCGATCTGATCTGCGTCCGTCTCCTTCCTCATGCGTTGGCCCTGTCCAACTGCACCAGCAGCAGGGCTGCCGGCCCTCGAGCCACCTTTCTTACTTGTGTTGCTGCCTGTCGGGCTTGTCGACGAGTTCATGGGTGTTGGGATTCCAACCTTCTTCGCCTTGAATGCAGACTTGTCGGCCTGCAAAACTACCTCGGTGTCTTTGTCGTTATCGGATGGGTATATCATGAAGTTGTTGTTGTAGCTACCAGTCATGACATTCTTCGCATCCCCAGAGAAAACAACCTCGAACTTGTCGAAAATGCTGTCGTTTTCGTAGGTGTCGCAGAGCCTCGGTCGGAGATGTTCATGGATTGGGATGGTCTTGACCGGAGTCTTTTCCATGTTTACGTCCCAGATCTTGACAGTCAGGTAGTCGCGTGACAGAATGTATCTTCCGTCGTGTGAAAACCGGACGTCGGAGATGGATGAGATGATCTCAGAGAAGAACGATCGCGAAGATGGATCTTCTTCTTGCTCAAATTCTGTAGAGCGAGGTTAGTATTAGCTGAGGCGGAAAGACGGACGGCTTACGCTTTGCATGCTGGTCGCATAGAGCACTCTCGCGCATGTCGGCCAGCTTGATGGTGCCCTTAGAGCTTGCGTACATGAACCAGTTGCAGCTGATAGGGTGGAACTCGGCAGCGGTGATGACCTCCGTCAGCTCCTCCATGTTGGCGGGCTTGATGTCGACGATGTTGAAGCTCTGGTCTTGGATGTTCAGGTTCCAGAGGTTGATTCGCAAATCATCGCTACTAATGAACGTTTCGCCATCGCTGTTGACTGATATGCTGTTGATGTGGTAGGCGTGTGCGTTGGCATACGTCTTTCGCGGTACTGCGGCGACAACTGTGTCGTGATGTGTGAGCCGTGGGAGCTTCAGATCGGTGGCGCTGCGGAACTGTGCATTCGGGTTCCTGACGGGACCACCTCCACCAGCAACCCCACCTCCAGGTGTCAACTCGTGTGACAGGTTGTTCTCCGCCACCACTTTCAGCGACTTTTCAAATACCTTCCATAGCTTGATTGTCTTGTCGTTTGTGGAAAGCAGATAGTGTGAAGCGTTTTGCCGGCGGCACCACTTGATCTTGTTGATCTTCTCTTCGATCTCGAGAGATTTGAGGTAATCGAATTCAGGCTCGTGCGATTGGAACTCGGTGTGGAACTTGTATTCGCAAGTTTTTTTCTGCATCTTGTCAGTCTTGAACCAGCGCGAGGTCATAGTAGAGAAGGACATACCGTCTCGTTCCTCTCGAACAAAACTACACGACCGCCCTTGTCACCGGTTGCAAGGTAGTTGCCCGTCTGGTCGAACTCGACGGTTGAGATGATGTCGGCTGCGCTCGCTGTCAGCAATTGCATGCAGGTATTAATGAATGTACAGAGAGCGCAACGGTAAGAAACGGTACGTACCTTCGGTTATGTCTTCAACATCGCCTTTGTCGCCGAAGCACCTGCTCCAGTCAGTGGCGTTTCCAGTGCGATTTGAGATAGTGGCGAGCACAGCAGCAACCGAGCTGAGATGAGGGGCCTAAAGGAGATGCGTAGCATGCGGTACGTACTGGGTGAATTTCCACGTCGTGGGATTGCCTTCGGCTTCTACCATGATTCTGGACAAGGATTGCGGGACACCAGCGGCGTGCGGTCAAGGGTAGCGAGTGCTCTGTCGTGTTCGTACGCAGTGTACTATGGTGTTCAGTGTGCGAGCTGTTGAGCTTGTCGTGGGGCCCGGGTGAGGTAGCGCCGCCAAGGTCGAGGGTGGTGGGTGAGTGAGTGCTGGGAATGATGTAGTGGGAGCGGTGTCTGCTGGCCGTGGCCGATGGCGGGGTTGGCGGTTGGGCGGGCTGATCGTTGAAGCTCCGGCGGAATCGAGTCGACGGCGGAATGACGAGGGCGGGCGACGACGTAGGGAGCAACAGCGCACGTTACAGAGATCAAGTGTGTTGTTGCTACCTTCACTGCCTCTAACGTGGGGCAACTGCGATCCGTGGACGTGTCTTGGCAAGCAAGGTCGGAAGGCGCGCTAACTTGTACTAGCGCCGTCCGCTCGCACTTTCCTCCGTCAACCTCAATATTCAAGAGGACTTTTCCTTGACGACTCCTCCAACTCCTCCAACTAACCACAGGAATCGAACCATGTCACACAGGAAGTTCGAAGCCCCCCGCCACGGGTCTCTGGCATTCTTGCCGCGAAAGCGCGCCGCCCGTCACCGGGGTAAGGTGAAGAGGTAAATTTCCATGTCACCACCGCCCACTGTCGGACAGCCTGCTCACTGCAATTGCCAGCTTCCCTAAGGATGACCCCAAGAAGCCCGTCCACCTGACGGCCGCCATGGGCTACAAGGCCGGTATGACCACAATCGTCCGCGATCTCGACCGACCAGGTGCCAAGCTGCACAAGAAGGAGATTGTCGAGGCCTGCACCGTCATCGAGACTCCTCCCGTACGCACAGCCAATTCCGAGCAGTTTTGGCGCACTACTAACACGGCCGCAGATGATCGCTGTCGGTCTTGTCGGCTACATCGAGACTCCCCGTGGTCTCCGCTCGCTCACCACCGTCTGGGCTGAGCACTTGAGCGACGAGGTCAAGCGCCGCTTCTACCGCAACTGGTACAAGAGCAAGAAGAAGGCCTTCACCAAGTACGCCAAGAAGCACTCCGAGGAGAACGGCCAGTCCATCACCAAGGAGCTCGAGCGCATGAAGAAGTACTGCACCGTCATCCGCGTTCTCGCCCACACCCAGATCCACAAGACCCCGCTCAAGCAGAAGAAGGCCCATCTCATGGAGATCCAGGTCAACGGTGGCAGCATCGCCGACAAGGTCTCATACGCCCACGGTCTGTTCGAGAAGCCCATCGAGATCGGCTCCATCTTCGAGGACAACGAGATGATCGACGTTATCGCCGTCACCAAGGGTCACGGATACAACGGTGTCACCTCCCGATGGGGCACCAAGAAGCTCCCGCGTAAGACACACAAGGGTCTCCGCAAGGTCGCCTGTATCGGTGCCTGGCACCCGGCCCACGTCCAATGGACTGTTGCCCGTGCTGGTCAGATGGGTTACCACCACCGTACCTCCGTCAACCACAAGATCTACCGTCTCGGCAAGGGCGAGGATGAGGGTAACGCCTCCACCGAGTTCGACGTCTCCAAGAAGCGCATCACACCGTAAGTCACATGTCACACTGGCCGGTAATCACTACTAACACAAATAAGAATGGGTGGCTTCGTCCGCTACGGTGAGGTTAAGAACGACTTCCTCCTCCTCAAGGGTAACTGCCCTGGTGTCAAGAAGCGCGTCATGACCCTGCGCAAGTCCATGTTCACCCACACCAGCAGGAGGGCGCTGGAGAAGGTCGAGCTCAAGTGGATCGACACCTCTTCCAAGTTCGGTCACGGTGCTTACCAGACACCGGCGGAGAAGAGGCAATACGAGGGTGTCCTCAAGAAGGACCTCCAGACTTCGTCCTAGAAGTCTCGAGATGGTGCTACGGAGTGCATGCTTTCTTCTCACGGGCTTGGGCGCAGAGGATAGGTTTACTATATGGATGCCAGTCATGAGCGATTGAACAAAAATTCAACGATTCCCCAATTCAAATATGTGTTATCAATGTGTGATGCGTGGAAACCGTCTGTCCCAGTGGCGCTCGCTGGTTCACCTAGGAAAAGATTAAACAGGTCTGCAGTCTACATCAACATGAAAACATGCAAAGTAGGAGACCCAACGCTGATGTAGGCTCCCGACCTATTCAGTTTTCTTGTGTGAGGCGCTCGCTGGAATTTAATCACGGTGCGTGCCCGTGTGCGACTTGGTTCGGTAGTGAGAGTCCTGCCCAGCGAAATGTTGCGCTATGCGGTGAGGGCATCAAAAACATGGAAACGACTATGAACAGGTGCTCTGCCGTCTACATCAGTATAAAAGTTGAAATATACATATTCCCTACGGCAATGTAGACTTCTAGGTGGTACATGTTGATTTTCTTCCCTTGTACGAGGTGGTATAATAAAGCCGACACAATGTCGAACTGCGAGTGCCACCCCATGTGCACTAGGGTTCAAGAAGTTTGTGTGCATATGCGCAATCCAGACGTTGATGCGGTTGAAAAAAAGGGTCTTGGAGTGAATAAGAATGGTATACTAACGGTAGTAGCGACACCTATATTAGCAACGTAACGTGCGGAGAAAATTCCCTGGTACAACGACTGGGGAACAGCCTTGTGATCGTGTGAGAAGGTCTATGACGACGACGAATGAGGCTCGACATCTTGAGCGCCAGCGGCAACAACTGTCGGCCCAGACAAGGTGCATGAGTCAGCCCAAGTGACAGCAGTTGCCATGTGCTTCGCAAGTACCATTATTGTTCCGAACGTCCAAAGCCGAAAGTTGGCTGTCAAGCGTGTAACGATTTTGTGTGGGATGAGTTTGTTAGCTAGAATCATGTCTATAACCGCGAAGATTCTTGCAGCGCAAAGTGCAATCAGATCAATAGCCTCTATGTTGATAGCCTATATGGCCTGCGTGACCTTGCAATAGAGGCAAAGATGCATCACGTTCATCAAGAAGAAAAGCCGGAATGAAGGGCAGGTACTTGGGAGGCAATGCAGCCGAGGCCTACCGACCCAATTAGCGCGCTCCGATTTTAGTTGGTAAGTAACGCCGTCGGTCGCAACTGCCATCATTGACCTCCAACTTCAAATCCACCAGGACCTTTCGCACTCCCGTCGTATACTCTCCGCTCTTCGGCTACCGCCAAAATGAGTTGTCTCAGGATGCGTCGTACGCAGCTTGCAAGCCAGGTGAGTTTTGACAGCCCTCCCACACCACGCAGTCGCAGTCGACGGTCGACAAGCCCGGCATCCGCCGCACCGAGGCGTGTGCCACATCCCACATGGCGTTGGCAGAATGTCGCATGTCGACACGACACTTTCGCAGTGCTGGACAATGCCCTTGGATCTTCCACGTCTTCTTACGAGTCTTTACTGTTCAATGGCTAATGTTCGCCTCATAGCTCGCGAGGAGCTTCCGCCCAACTACACGAGCCTTCTCTTCCACCCGGCCAGCGCAGCGCATATTCGCTACCGAGAACCTGAGGGCGAAGGAAGCGTCAGGCTTCATCTCGAGCAAATACCCCGTCATCGACCACGAATACGATGCCATTGTTGTCGGCGCTGGAGGAGCTGGTCTCCGCGCGGCATTCGGTCTCGCTGAAGCTGGTTTCAACACAGCCTGTATATCCAAGCTTTTCCCCACTCGATCGCACACAGTCGCAGCACAGGGTGGTATCAACGCCGCGCTCGGAAAGTAGGTGAATTGGACAAACATGCGATGGGTACGACAGCAGCTGACGGATACTTGTAGCATGCACGAGGACGACTGGCGGTGGCATATGTACGACACAGTCAAGGGATCAGATTGGCTTGGTGACCAAGACGCTATTCACTACATGACAAGAGAGGCGCCCCAATCCGTCATCGAACTTGAGAACTACGGCTGCCCCTTCTCGCGAACCGACGATGGCAAGATGTAGGGTCAACCCAGCTCTAATTTGCGCAGCATACTAACGTCGTACAGCTACCAGCGTGCTTTCGGTGGACAGTCGCAGAAGTACGGCAAGGGTGGCCAAGCATACCGATGCTGTGCTGCTGCCGACCGTACTGGTCACGCTCTCCTCCACACTCTCTACGGACAATCGCTACGACACAACACCAAGTACTTCATCGAGTTCTTCGCCACTGATCTGATCATGGAGGACGGCGTCTGCAAGGGTGTTGTCGCATACAACCAGGAAGACGGAACCATCCACCGATTCATCGCAAAGAACACCGTCTTGGCCACTGGTGGTTACGGACGTGCCTACTTCAGCTGCACATCCGCCCACACCTGCACTGGTGACGGTATGGCTATGGTTGCTCGCGCAGGTCTTCCCAACCAGGATCTGGAATTCGTCCAGTTCCACCCCACTGGTATCTACGGCGCCGGCTGCTTGATCACTGAAGGATCCCGTGGAGAGGGTGGTTACCTTCTCAACTCCGAGGGTGAACGGTTCATGGAGCGTTACGCACCCACTGCCAAGGATCTTGCTTCCCGCGATGTCGTATCCCGATCAATGACCCTGGAAATCCGTGAGGGCCGTGGTGTCGGACCGGAGAAGGACCACATCTACCTCCAGCTCAGCCATCTGCCCGCCGAGGTCCTTCACGAGCGTCTACCCGGTATCTCTGAGACTGCCGCCATTTTCGCTGGTGTCGATGTCACCAAGCAGCCCATCCCTGTTCTTCCTACTGTGCACTACAACATGGGTGGTATCCCCACCAAGTACACTGGTGAGGTCATCACCCAAGACGCTCAGGGTAACGACCAGGTCGTCCCAGGTCTGTTCGCTTGCGGAGAGGCTGCCTCTGTCTCTGTCCACGGAGCCAACCGTCTCGGTGCCAACTCCCTCCTCGACCTTATCGTTTTCGGCCGTGCTGTTTCTCACACCATCCGCGACAACTTCAGCCCCGGCCAGAAGGCTGACCCCGTCTCCGCCGATGCCGGTGCCGACTCCATCTCTGTCCTCGACCAGATCCGCACATCTGACGGCGCCAAGTCGACTGCCGAGGTCCGTCTCCAGATGCAGAAGGTCATGCAGACCGATGTCGCCGTCTTCCGAACCCAAGAGTCGCTCGACGAGGGTGTCAAGAAGATCCACGACGTCGACGCCGACTTCGCCAACGTTGGTATCAAGGACCGCAGCATGATCTGGAACTCCGACCTTGTCGAGACCCTTGAGCTACGCAACCTCCTCACCTGCGCCGTACAGACTGCCGAATCCGCCGCCAACCGTAAAGAGTCACGAGGTGCTCACGCCCGTGAGGACTTCCCCGACCGTGACGATGACCAGTGGATGAAGCACACATTGTCGTGGCAGAAGAAGCCACACGGCGAGACTCAATTAGGTTACAGAAAGGTTGTTGGTACCACTTTGGACGAGGCTGAGTGCAAGGCTGTACCACCATTCAAGCGTACATACTAGAGGATTGGTAATTTGGAAAGGAAATGAGGGATGTATTTTGTATTCTATGTACATCGGATGATGGATTGCATGTTTTAGCATGTTTAAGAGCGAAAGCCGTTTAGGGTTGAGAATCGAATCATTCAAGTTCATGTTGTTATGTCTTGTCCGTGGTATCAGCATGTGTAAGCGCTTGCTGGTGTTGTGCTCCACAATACTGCTGTCCGTGGATGATGTAGCTGTCCTGGCGTGTGGAGCACTCATTCCCTGCCTGACTGTGTTGTTGTGGTAGGGGCTGGTGTTCTCGGCAAGTGCGATACTCACCCGCGCAGCACGACAACATCAGCTATTCGAACACGTCACGAGCGTCGCTAACTTCAACGCCGGGCAATGAATACGGTCTCAACCAGACAGGGAACAGGGTTTCGCTTCGACGTTCGTGCACCCACACTCATCGCGAACCGAACATGGCTCCTGCCGTGTGTAAGCAAGGCTAGCTTCTAGCCTGGTCTATCGTTACCCGAGGGCTGAAGTGGCTGCAGTGGCTGTCACCACGCCAGATGGGGATCCGCTCATGGCAATAACAAGACTTTCAGGCTTTCTCGCTCTCTGGCACATCACCATGGTGGAGCCTGTGTCAGAAACCGTATTTTTACACGTTGTGATATCCAAGGCGGAATGCGCGAAGAATGCTTGCACGCAGGCATACCTATTTTGGTCACGCATCGTCCCGGGAGGACGCAGCTAGGCCCTCAGCTCCCTGCAAGAACCCATCCGACCATGGGAAGATCGGTTCGATTTCACGCACGTTCATCAGCCCCCATCTGCACCGAAGGTCTATCACAGCCACCACCAAGCCGAATTCGGGCGACACAATGCTTCTAAGTCTGCCATGCTTCAGCCTTCTCCATCAGAAATTTGGGGGGTCTTGGACTTATTAGAGGCTACTTCTCAGCCTTCTGCATTAAAATCTTGCTTGAATTCCACGTCAAAAAGCGAATGCAGTTTCTGTCTCCCATTTTGCTCCAAAGGCTGAATGCGGCACCGTAATTATAGTATTAATACTTGAACCTCGTGGAATCCGGAATACACTTCTGGGCAAGAAATCGAAGGCTTTTGAGCTATTATGGATCCTTCCCAAGACCACCACATAGCCTCTTTTACTTCTGGGTTAGCAGGGCGTCGATTATCGTTGTCCCAGACAACTCCCTCTTTGTCAACTCCATCATCGACAAGATCATATCTGCCAGACGATGATCAAGACTTTGAACCCGAAAGATTGCCCTGTTCCTTTGGTGCAGAGGCGTTCGATGGAGGAACTGAACTGACATATTATCCGTAAGTGCTATTTCATACCATGATCATCTTCCGACGTCGGAGCTTACAGGCAGACAGATCACACCGAACAAGCAGTCCAGACACGCAGATCCTGCTCACAACTCAGAACGCCAGGTCTTCATTTTCAACAGTCATGTCTT